CTGTATCCATAGTATTTTTTGGTATATTTTACTACTTTATTTTGTTACAAAGCTACAGTTTTGCTGCTTGTTTAGAGGAAGGAAACTCATTTATGCAGCACATTTGACCTTTTCACTGTTTTGATCATTAAAATGTTTGTGCTTCATATGAACTTTGCACAAGAAGTGGTTTAATTTTAAGACTTTTAGTATCACAGCCATGATTTAGCCTTTATTTTTTATTGAACTGTAGCGAATCGATTTGAAATATATCGTATTGAACCGAAAGTGCACTGTATGGAGTAGGGGTGTAATGATATCCAAGTCTCACGATACGATATCCTCACAGTACGATATTTATTGCAATAATGTGGGAAAACTCACGATATATTGGGGAGTCTCACGATTAGGGATGTAACAATATCCAAATCTCTCGGTACGATATTTTCACAATATACATCTCACGGTACGATATTTGTTGTGATATTTTGTGGAGGCTAACAAAACTGTTAATACGCTACTTTTTACTTTTTCCTCTTAAAATGCCTTGACAAGACTTAATGCAAAGACCTAAGACTTAAAAGTGCTGAGAACTGTTATTTCTTCTTGTAGTCTACACTGAAATGGAGCAAAGGATCATGGTCTATGTAGTTTTTTTTAACTATTGCTGCACCATAACTTTTAATTTAAGCAAACAGACTTGTAATTTGATATATTGTGATGATCCACGATGTTATTATGAAAACTTTGATGATATTTCAGTTATTGTTACATCCCTTGTATCAAGATATGTATCGTATCGTCAACTTCTTAATGATACCCAGCCCTAACCATAACATATTTGGGTCAGTTTTGTTTTAGGCCTATTTTATTTTTTTGTTGAAAGGAATTAAATACAGTTCCGGTCTCTGCACTGGTACCGGTTGATATCGGGTGTCAGCAGATACTTGAAGCTTTAGAATCGAAACCGAAAAAGCTGAATTGGTGCATCATTACACTTATAGGAATACCAGATGTCCGTATTTAACCAGGACAGTCCCCGTTCTGAGCCCTGTGTACCCAAACATTGATTTGTTCCAGTTTTATACAAGAAATGTCCCAGGTGTCCCTATTTTTAACCAATCTGATCCCTGCCAACAGTAGAGAGAGCCATAAAATTGTCATTTGTTTAGGTAAAACACAGAAAAGCTGCTTAAAAGTGATCAAAACATAGAGAAAATGTGACTATACTGACTCACATATTAGTCATGAGTGGTTTCTGCATAACAATTATCCTTAATTACTCATTTCTTGTTTCACAATTTTATTAATCACCAAAAAAACGGGGATGTCCCAGTTTTTTATTTTGAAATTCTGGTCACCCTATACACCCATACTTTAAAAAAATGACTAATCTTTCCCAACTGAAGAAGCTTTATTTCTCGATGAGGCATTTACAACCAAACCAAGTGACGAAGCCGTAAACCTCTTTCGAGTTGTAGTTATGAAACCGTCTCTGCAGGACAGTTCCGGGCACAATTCATCCTTTCTGTCAAAGTGCTCTCCATTGAACGCCACACTCGTCTGACAGCAGCGATGGTGGCCGCGGCGTCGCTATGGTAACGGAGCAGGAAGGCGATTAGGAGCAGGTCGTGTAAAATGTGACTGAGGGAACGCGAGGATACCGTCGGACACAGAGGCGGTAGTAATGAGGGCTTTGTGCACAAGTGAGACAATCGTAATATGACGTGTGGACGTGTGGGGGGGACTTTTGTGGCAGGTTAATCTCAGAGAAATATACAGAGATTTGAGATATGAAGTCATAAATCAAACGATAAAATAGGCCATGTTTTTTTGACCATACAAAGCAAAAAGTGGAGGGCTCAAATTGGCTCTCACAGAATCAATTTTAACATTTTCACAGGGTTTATATGAGTCCAGTCTGTTAATTTAAGTTAATTTAACATTTTTGGAAGTGTTAATTAAGTAATACTGGACCAAAGTTCATGTTTAACCCTGAAATCAAGACTTATATTAATGTTTTGAGGGTTTCATTCAAGGTTTTCATTCCGCACTCTTCTCTCTAATTTATGTCTCTCTTTTTTAATTTAAATCTTTATGATTATTTATGTTTTGATTTGTTTTTATTGTGATTTTAATGTATTTCTTATTCTGTAAAGCACTTTGAATTACTTTGTGTACGAATTGTGCTATACAAATAAACTTGCCTTGCCTTGCCTGAACGGATAACACTTTGTAGGGTCATCCTGATTTAGAATAAGCAACATACTGAGGGGTTTCATTTTTACACTTTATTTTAGTTAATTTAAGATGAAATTATGCACAAAACTGCAAACTTCTCTTGCAGAAGTGAGAAATTAACACTAGGGGAAGCTGAATTAACACTTGGAGAAGTTTAATTAACACTAATTGAGGTTGAATTGACACTAGGAGAAGTAGAATTAACACTAGGGGAAGTTGAATTAACACTAGGGAAAGTTGAATTAACACTAAAGGAAGTTGAATTAACACTGAGGGATGTTGAATTAACACTTGGGGAAGTTGAATTAACACTGAGGGACATTGAATTTACAGTAGGAGAAGTTGAATTAACACTAGGAGAAGTTTAATTAACACTAGGGGACTTTGTATTAACTCTAGGAGAAGTTGAATTAACATTAGGGGACATTGAATTAACACTGAGGGAAGTTGAATTAACACTTGGGGAAGTTGAATTAACTTCAACTTCAGTCAACTCTGGCAAATAACCCGAACCCCCATTTAACTTTCAAATAGTTAAATAACACGTTTTGTGTTAAAAACAACTCTGAAATATTTCACCCTGAAATTTTAACCCTCCAGTTGTTGCTGTGTAGCGATGCATTAGACAAAACATTATAAACAAGTAAACAAAACACCCGTGGATCAAGCCCATTAACTGCTGAGTCACAACAAGTAAATATTGATACACTAACTTGTCTAATCAAAACTGCTTTGTGCTTTCATATGTGAGTGTTTGGATGCAGAAATAATAGCAAGTGAAGTTATTGTAAGTAGGCGATTGTTTCAGAAATGGAAAAACAATATGCATATGACTCATTTTCATATCTGACCTCTGCTCGGTGCGATGAAGCTATTACTTGGTTTTCCCCGACCAGCTGCCTTCCACCGGTCCGTAAACTTACCAGAGCTTAGATTCAGCCTTAGAGGAAAATGCTGATTCACTCTGCTCTGCTCTTCTCACTTCTCTGAGCTGGGCCCGATCCAACTGCATCTGTCAGCAGCATCCTCCAACGGGACGTGTCCTTCAAAGAGCCACTGCCCAACATACACACAGCGTTCAAAGGGCCCATATTATGATATTTTCGGATCTATGTTGTCAAAATATACCTGGAGTTTTGTTTTGTTTCATTCTCACATGTTTAGTTTAACACACAAATCCTGTATTTTTTTTTTCTACTGTGTTTTTAAACTCCATACATCTTCACTAGAATCATTTGGATGATTTCAGCCCTGGAATTGACCTTTTTCACAATAGCTGGAAGCAGAGGCGGTGCTACCATTAGGCAAAAGTGGACGGCTGTTTAGGGCCCCCAAACCTGGAGGGGCCCCCAGCCAATTGCCCTTAAGTGCCACTAATGGTCGAGGCCTCAGAGCACTTTTAAACAATAATCATCAGAAAAATAATAATAATCATAAGTAAGGGATGTAAACAAAAATACAACTGTACTAGCAAAAAAATAAAACTAATTTCACTTCTGGTTATCTAGCAAAGTTTTTAGTAATATTGCTCCACCTCCTCTGAAGGAGTTTGTGAAAAGAAATTCAAATCACACAACAAGAGCAGCTCTAGAGGCGACTGCTCTGTGCCATTTAGGAAAATTGCTTTCGGACAGTTTTCTTTTGTTTATCGAGCAGCTCAAACATGGAAAACAGAGCAGCTCATGTACAAGAACTTTCAACACTGGCAACATTTTCTAAAGCTTTAAAACAGTGGTTGTTCAATGGAGGAATATGTCATAATGTCTAACCAAATGACATTTTCTTTTAGACTGAGGAGTTGTTGGTTTAACTCTTGGTTTAACTCTTTGAACTTCAAATGAACTGTTTGAAATGAATTTGTGTGAATGTATAGTGAGTGTGATATTTGTATAGTGAGTGTGCTGGTTTTATGTACTTTTGTGTGATTGTGCTGTCTCTTTACAAATAAATAAATAAGAAGAAGAATCTAGTAGGCTACTGAACAAATAAGACAAGTTTCCAATCCACCATAATTCAAATAAATAGAGATGTGCATGTCTCAAGAACAATGAGGAAAAATAGACAATAAATATATTAACGAAACAAAACAAAATAATGCATTATAGTAAAGGCCTCAAACTCAAGTTCACCTGGGGCCCCCAAATTGCTAACAACGCCACTGAGCGAAAGTCCTCCCCAGTAAGGTTGCAGAACTTCCGGTTAATGCTTTTCTGTGGTGAAATGTCTTGGTCGCCTTTACGTTTTCGTCTTTCTTACCTTGATAGTTGTGGATAAGTTCTTCATGGACAGAATATGTACTTTGTCGACCTTGTTTATGAAGCTGGTGGAAAATACGCCAGACTTTTCCACGGACATTTCGCCGTAGAAAAGCATTAACCTGAAGTTCCTTAACCGTACTTGTGAAAAAAGCCTATTGCATTTTGAGCTTTGGAGATGTAGACAGATTAATAACAGACAGACAGATTAATAGTTAGTGCAGAATTACTCAAACACGTGTGAATGAAATTTGTTTTTAAGAAGCTAACAACATTGTGACATGGCTTAAAGCTCCCAAGAGTCCATTTTCTCTAATATCGGAGTCATTTAGGAATTGCTTTTGAGATGCCAGTTGACAATGTTATATGATAATTTTACTATTACCTAACTAATAACTCAGTGCTATTTTGTTTGAAACTAATTTACTCTGAGTCATTGTATTGTATGTTGTAATCGGCTTGTGTAACAGTATAATAACTTAATGACTAATAATAATAATGTGTTTTATTTTATCTTTTTTGCAGTCGGACAGTAACACGAGTTTCCTGCGAGCGGCCAGAGCGGGGAATATCGACAAGGTTTTGGAATTCCTGAAAGGCGGAGTGGACATCGGCACATGCAATCAGGTATGGAACTCGACTACTCACAAATCTCAGCGTTCTTGCAATCAACTCTCTGATTAAATGGAAGTGTGTAAGACATTTTGGGTAGTTGTTGACAGCCTCATCAAAAACTCATTACAGCGGGACTAAACACCTCAAAATCTGCTCACGTTTCTTCACATTTCAAATAGAGCTGGGAAACTGGGAGGATTGAAGAAGAGAGTGAGGGGAGGGAGTATCCACACTTCAAACTCCACCCCTGCAGCCAGAAGCATTTATCTGTATCAGGGCAGTTTTGTGTGATGTCACCAAGCACTTAAAATCGCAGTGGTCATTGGAGCCAGAACACACCCATTTTTACAATTTTTTACCACAAAATTTCACATATTTCCAGTGCGCAATGAAATTCCCCCCAAAAAAGCTCTATTAACAGTAGATAATGTGATTTAAACATCACGTAGACAGTTTATTAGTGAAGAAAGATCATCTAGTGCCGAGGTCTTCAACAGCGGGGTTTCTTCTTGGCTACATGTGAAGAGCTCCACTTTTACGCACAGCAAAATTTTATGTTATAGCCGTGTGAATAAAAGTCCGGAGCCGGGGATGCAGTTTAGGTATTTATTTATTTATTTATTTATTTAACATGAATGGACAAGTTTGGGAAAGGAAAGTGACCAGAAAAACAAGAAACAAACTACAGGACAGCACGACACAGGTAGCAATGTTTTTAAATCCAGCGTGGCCGCCCTAACACACAATTAATAAAAAAAATCTCAGACTTTGGTCCAGTCTCATTCACTCTCACACGCAAACTATTTAAAAACCCACCATTATCCTTGGACAAACGCACTGCCAACTTCCCCTTAAATTGGTACCAGCCGCTACATTAAGTTCTGCACTTACTACCGCGCATCGGGAAGGGGTCAGGCAACTTCATTCCTCAGGCGTACTAACCGGGGTCCGCACTCCACAGTCGCCTCCTCTCTGTCCACAAAGCGACCAGGAGAGGAAGAGGAGTCGTGTCTTTCCTCCTCAGATCATAGTGACTTGAAAAGTAACGTGTCCCATATCAAACTCTTGTCCGTGCACGTTGTGGCTCCTCTCTCGTTTTGTCAGATCATTAAAAAAAGTCACACTTTAAGCCCATTTTCTCTGAGTTATCTTTGGTCAGACTCAGCTTTATTTCTGTCATGGAACAAGTTGAGGCTTAAACTGGAGATGGAGCTAGTTTCAGCTCAGAATTTCAGGATAAGGCTGGACTTGTTAAGCGACTTTGATGAAATACCCCCTTAGTATTGAATGTACAATAGCAGAGTAGCAGTTTATACATGACACTAGGCCCGATTTAATATAAAACACTATTGTATGCCATATATATAGTAGTGGGTCCCTGCTCCATCAGTTTGAGGGTCCCTGGTCTGAAAAATGTTAAAGACCTCTAATTTAGTGTTTAGTTTCACTTTAACTGCAATATTTTTAACCACAATTTTAGACAATAAGTGGGCGTGTTAGTTGTGGCAGCTGCTGTAGCAGTAGTAACAATATCAGTTGTAATTTGGCGCTTGAAAATAAGTAAAGTTCTCCACTGTAGCCATTTTTGGGGCAACAGTAACTCAGTTGGTAGTGGAGTGTTTGACGGTTCTAATCCCGCTCTCGACTTAAACATCACTGGTTGAGTGCTCGGAGCCACTGAGCCACAGGTTGAAGGTGTGATTCTAGCTCCCATAGATGAATATTGTTGTCTCCTTGGGCAAGACACTCGCCCCCAGGTTCTGCATACATTGGTGTACGAGTGTGTGAATGGATGCGTGGTTGATTAGGGTGACCAGATGTCCCTATTTCCCCGGGACAGCCCCAGTTTTGAGCTCTGTGACCCCTGCACCAGTGGAGAAAACATTGATTTATCTCAGTTTTATATTAGAAATGTCCCTGGTGTCCCTATTTTTGACCTATTTGATCCCTGCCAACAGTAAAGAGAGGTATACAATGTCATTTGTTTAGGCAAAATACAGAAAAGACACTTAAAAATGACCAAAACACAAAGAAAATGTGACTATACTGACACGTATTAGTCATGAATGGACTGAGTGTAGAGCAGTTTTCCTTATATTACGTACTTGATTCACAATTTTATTATCACCAACCACCACAAACCAGGAGTGTACCAGTTTTTACTTTGAAAATCTTGATGTAAAAGTGCTTTGGATGCATTGAAGGTGGAAAAGCTCTAAAAATATGACCAAGGATGACAATTTTTACATTATGTTATACAGTTTGTCCATAACATTATTGTTGCTTTTTAGCATTTAGCTTAAAACCAGTTGCTAAAGTCTACCCAGTCACTAAACATATTTACCAAAACTACCTTGCACAACGTATAGCGCCAAATTCCTCGTGTGGCCATGTTATTGTATTTACCAACAGTGACAGGCGGCTTATAGGATGACTGTGCATTTGTGTAGCTGCGCGCTTGTGTCTTTATTTAGAGCTAGCCATTATCTGTCTCCTCTAAGCTCATTAGCATTCCAGCCTCAGAGGTGAAGGGCCCGTCCCAACACTCTGCAGTCAACACAAGTCATATGCCCTGCCTAATGCTGTATGGACTAAACCACCAAAGCAAACAGTCGTATTTTCTGGTCTGCTTCACATTTGATTCATTATTGCTCATTAAATATAGAGTGACCAGACATTTCTATTTACCCGGGACAGTCCCAGTTGTCCCCTGTCCCAGCAGATTTATCCAAAACCAGTGATTTGTTGAAGTTTTATGCAAGAAATGTCCCAGGTGTCCCTGTACATGCATCACGAATTTCGGACTTCCAGTCATCGCGCAGTGCAGGATCTCGTTTGTTAAGCGAGAGGTACAGAAGACAAACAGGCCGAGCTCGCATTTTCTTGTTCTTGTGGTTTTACAGCAGCATCACGTCTTGGTCTCTTTGCAGTGGAAGGTGTTTCTTGGTGAACAGCTGGTGCCTTTCGCTTTGGCGTTGACTTTTTAAATTCGTAACCAAAGTCGAGCGAGGGATCTGGATTTTACTTTGTTGGTGCTCCACATACAAAATGTTCGCTGCAAACTCAGGATGATTTCTTAGGCAGCCAAAGGTTACATTTTTGGTCCTTCCTGTGTATCAATATTGCTTATTGTCTTCACCTTTCACTATTTTTCAATTCCATTGGGAAGGGAAACGAACAAAGGGAACGAAGGTTTGCAGTCACACAGATCTGATTCCCTTTTGCAGTTATGGAGTTCGCAAACTTCCAAAGCCCATTTCTTGAACCTTTTTTCTGCTGTTAGGACATCCAGCAACCACACAATTACGATGTCCGGATCCCAAAACTAAAATATGACAATATCAGAACCAGAAACAAAAGTGATATGGTTCAGAAGACTAGAAAAGATCAGCTTTGACAAATAGATCCCACTGGGAAATCAAACATGGCGGTTTGATGCTCACTTTTTCGGAAAATCCTTCCCTTGTGATGCATGTATTTTAACCACCTTGATATCCACCAACAGTAAAGACTGGAACATATTGTCATTTGTTTAGCTAAAATACAGAAAACTGAGCTTGAAAATGACCATAAGAAAAAAAACCCGCACCATCAGAAGTCCCTCAGATTATGATTATGACTCACAAAGTAAATTACAAAAAGACAATGTTACGCTGTCTTTTCACAATTTTATTTTTACCAATCATCCCAACCTGGGTGTGTCCCACTTTTTAATTCTGAAAATCTCATCAATGTAATTAAATAAACTACATTTTCTAGTATTTTGACACATTGTGCAATAAAGGACAATATTGTTATGTTTAATGTTTACGTTACCATATCTTTGGCTTTTTTTGTCCTAACAACATGAAAATTGGCACTGCACACACCCGTCCCATTAGGATGACACCCTCTGAATTTGAGATCGATCAGATGAGTGGTTCGAGAGTTATGTGTGGAACAGACAAACATACAAACACACAGACAGACGTTCCTTGAATTAATGGACAGATGTTAAGTTTTTATCTGTAGGTGGTTGAATTATTAACATCTACAGTATGATTCGTTATTGCCTTTCTTTACTGCAGTAGGCTCCATTGTGTGTAATGTTTCTATTAACATATTGCAAATAATTCATTGTTTAAGACTAAAATATGACTTTTTGTTTTAATAACTTACAATATACATATACATTTTACCTGTTATTAAAAGTACAATAGTAGATAATGGGATTCTAAGTACAATCGTCTCTTCTCCTTCACTCCCACACCATCTCAGACCATATGGACATCAGGCTAAATCGTTGTGTTGTGTGGGTAGAAAATGTATTTTTAATGAACACCAAATAGCCAGTCTTTTGTCACTGCTCACTGTTAGTCATTACAGGAACAATAACGAGATAATGGAAATTCGAGCTTTGGTTAGGGTCAGAGGTCACACACTCAACGTTTTATTAAAGTTGTGGTAATTTCCTAGTCTGATTTGTCAGCCAGATTCACTTTGTAGAAACCTTCTGACCTTGCAGCATTAGGATTCTTTCGCTTGACGGTAGGCAGATACTTTTTTCATTTAACCAATCGCTGCTATTTGGTCCTGACGTATGTAATGCACCACTAACAGGGATAACTGGTATATGAAGCTTTTCCCAAATCCCGTAGGAAGAAGGGCAATAACGTCTTTCCCCTGATGTGTTTTGTGTTGTATTTAGTTTAATTCACACATTTGAGTAATCCTGCATTGTTAGTATGTCTACATCGAAATGCTCTGTTCTATCTTGTGATGTCATGTAGTGGTAGTTTTATAATTCACAGCTTCTTTTTAACTTTTGTTTCTGTGCTGCACAAAAACACAGTAATAACAACAGTAATAATATAATGATAAAATCAATGCTCAGATTTAATCATACTAGTTTTACTGATGATTTGAATCATGCTCCCAATGTCCACATCGTTGGTTGAGCGGTCAGATCCACTGACCCACCGGTTTGTGGTGCGATTCCAGCTCCCACAAATGAATGCTGTCATTGTGTCCTT